GGGGGTGAACGGGAAGCCAGGGTTCGACTCCCGGCGCAGGCATGAAGAAGAGCTGACGAAAATTTTTTGTTTTTTGTTTTGTGTTTTGGTTCAGATTGATGCCAGCTAAGATTTTTGGGGGTTCGCGAGATATGTCCTCTTCCGAGGACACGCAAATTTGGCCGGGGACTCATGAATGATTAAAGATGATGCAGGATAAATTAAGCGGCGAACACTGCGTAGGAACGCCGAACAAAAAAACAACTGCATGAAGGTAAAAGCAGGTTCGATTACTGTGTAGAAAGCCTTTGAAGATCAAGGTGATCGCCCGCTCTACTTGCATAGTGTCGTGAGGTGCAGCGGGAAGGTGGGGTTCGATTCCTTGCGGAGGTATGAACGCGTTCCTTCATTTTTTGTCTGGGCTCCTTAGGGCTTCGTGAGGATCAGTCGTCGCTGAAAGAGGGGCCGCAGATTTCGGAGGAGCTTCGTGAAAGGTACAGAACAAGTCCAGCATTGATTACTACCCCGGAGGGCCGAACAGAAAGGAAAGGATGATGGTAAGTCGAAGTTCAGAAACCTAGTAATAAAACGCGCGAGTGACATCGCCGCCATGGGAGGAAGGAGTTCATGTGTGACGACGGCGCGTCCCTGCGCGGAAATCGGGGAGCACATAGATGCAAAGAGCGAATGTGTGGCTGGACGCTCAGTTGTTTGTAGGCCGCAAAGTATGGGGTGCACAGAAAGGATGCCGAAAATAGGTGGCTGGACGATGTGAGCGTAAGATGAGTGCGGAAATGCGAATCACAGTGGCGAAACAACGGGGCTGAGGGGCGGAAGAAAGGGAGATAGGTGGCTGCACATATGTGTCAGGAAGATAAGGAAACAAGGGGGCTATGAAGGAGACAAAGAGGTAAGGGAACCGAAAGGTTTGCGCGGGGCTGAGTGCCTCGAACGGAGTCACGTCAAGGCGCGGCAAGCTAGGGCGAGCTTTACAGGACGGGCGACGGGGGCGAGGAGTGTGAAAAGCGCGGGGTTTGGTGTCGATGCCTAAGAACAGGACTAGTGCAAGACTGCGCAAATGTGATTTGACGTGCGGCACGAAGGGCGAGAGGAACCAAAAGACGGACTGCAGAGTTAAGAAGCCGAATTGACGCGCAGTCGCGCCGCGTGATGGGCTGATCGGGACAGTAGAGGAGACAGAAGGAGGACGTAAAACAAAAGCAGAGATAGTATACAGGCCGATACGTATGCGCGGAGAGGCCGAACGAGTGCCAAGAAGTGTGCACGCGGATCGAGAGGATCAATCCAGGAAGGTCGGTGTTCGTCGGTTTATCGCTAATCGCCGTAGCAGAGACTTCCAGATTGCCAGTACGGCTGCGATCCATGGGACCTGCCAGTGTTCGCGAAGAAGGAGAATCTGGCTAGTGCAGTGGTGGGAGAAGACAAGACGTCTCCTTGACAACTTGTGACAATGTACTTACTGGTGAGGAAAGTAGATGCGTAGCGGCAAGTGAGATTGCGTCGAACTTGGGTAACCGGGTTATCGAACGACATCGCGCGGTCGAACAGATCATCGATCGTCCTCGCATGATGCCACGATTATTAGGAGTGCAAAATAATGAAGAGACTTTGGCGTAGCGTAGGTTGGTCGAAGATGAGGCGGATTGAAGGTGGTGGTCGAAAGGAAACAAGGAAAAAGTCGGTATGCCGTGGGTAAATCCATTTGATCCGATGTCACTTGTGACTCGCCACTTCCTCTTAACTTGGGGTGTGGGGCCGTGGCAGGGCCCGGCGGAAACTTCGTACTTATGTAGTCCTACTGAGTATATCAATACATACAACGTACTGAAAGTACCAAGCATCTGATGGAATGACAATGATAATTACATGGTCAAAAAGACCAAGACAAATCTGACAGAGTGGAAAGAGAAAAAAAAGAATGCAGATGGAAGGGATCAATCTCATGCCCTACAGATTCCCCGAGGGAATGTTGGCAAAGACATAGCCAACAATACTGCCCGCACTTGAACTGCCCGCGTGTGCCGTCGGAGTTTGAAAACATCTTCGATGCATCGTTGCTCGAGTCTGAGATAAATTTGATTACAGCAAACAATTGCACAAGGATAACCAACAATAACAATATTATCTAGGAACTTTCTACATTATTAACGGATAACAGCACTCAAGTGGCAGAGAGGCCATGGAGTAATTCAGATTCTACTTGCTGGCAGATGCATGGGAGTTGGTAAATAGATACACTAACTGGGCAAAATGTTTGTCTCAGAGTATTTTCGGTACTGCAGGCCGAATTCTGGAGGATACAGAGACTTTGAGACATGACTTGTGCAGAATGGAATGTTGGAAATAGGTTCAGGAGTCCCCATGAGCATTCTCAGAGTTTGATTGCATCATAATGCTTTGATATGCCTTCATTTGTCTTTCAACTGCAGAGACCCAGTTTTTGCAATTTGATCTGTGGTTTCTTTCAGAACAATCTGAATTGACTACATTGTATTCCAGGATGTGAAGACCCATTATACAAAGAGAACTATGCAAAAATATACAGGCAATCGGACACTATAGAGCTTGCAAAATAACCTAAAATGGACAAAATGCTCAAAAATGACTGTTTTTGGCCATTTTGCTGGCTCTGTAGCATCTTATTGCTTGTATATTTTTGCATGGTTCAACTTGCAAGATTTCTCCTCACATCTCAGAGTATGACTTGGTTGATTTACATTGTCCTGAAAAAAATCACAGATCAAGTTGCAAAAAATGGGTTTTTGCTGTTCAAACACAATTGATGGTATATCAAATCAGTATGATGCGATCAAAGTTCTAAAATATTTTTAGGGACTCCTGACCCTATTCCCAACATTCTATTCTGCAGAAGTCCAATCTCAAAGTCTCTGTATCCTGCAGAAATCGGCCTGCAGTACCGAAAATACTCTGAGACAAACATTTTGCAGAGTTAGTGTATATATTGGTTCAAGATGAAAAAGAAAACATACGGTGCGTCAAATGAAGTTCAGCTCACATAAAAATACATTAGCTATGGAGCAGGATAGCCATGCGAGATAAATGGCAACGAAAGGTTTCAAAAAGGTTCAAAAATAAAAGGATGCATAACGGAGGGTTCGAACGGGTGACTGCACGATTACCTAAAAATAGGACAGCCACTAATTTATCACAAAAATCGTATTGAACTCGATAAAAAAGACTACAAACACAGCCACTAAACGAGTAACTAAGTTGAGGTGATCAAATGAAAAATTCAGGTCGTCAAAATTCTCGTATGAAGTTTGTTTAAATAGACGATTCCTTATTACATAAGTACTCGTAACTTCCACCACCATCCACGCATCCCTCTCTTTCGAATCTTCGGCGGGCTCCCATTAATATTCTCAACATAACACATACCAGCGAATGGCTGAATCTCAGACCCCGGATCCCCTGGCTGATGCAGCCCAGGCGATGGCGGACGCGCAGCGTGCGATTGCTGCGGCGCGCGCTGCACCAGCGCCCGTCGCCCTTGCTCTTGCGGAATCGCAGAAGAAATGCGCTGCTCTCCACCATCTTACCGTACTTCCTTCATTGCACGGTTGCCGGACAATTTGCGGACCACGGGCTGGCAGCATTCCATGCAGCTTCCTTGAGTGCGTAAATTAGCAGTGGCCCCCAAGCCCTATCTCTACTGCCCAAAAATGCCTGATCCTGATCCCCCTCGTCGGCGCCACATCGGACGGCGACTGTCAACGCTGAGTGCAGATGCACGATTCACCACTACCATCATGTTCTTTCTTTTCGGCCTTCGTCTTAACCTATCCTGTCTTATCTTTCACAAATGTCTCTCGAAATTCGCGGCCTCTCTTTCAATAACGGCGACTGTGTCCTCACGAAGTCCGACGGACACCGACAAAAATGTTCAGAACACTTCATACCTCCGCGGGGAGTCGAACCCCTTCTTCCCGATGGATTCAATTACCCTCATAGAACCGGGACGATCGCACCCTGATCCTCGAAGGCTCGTACTATGGAACCTTGATTTATTTATGTGCACCTTTACTCGCGGGCGCACAGTACCCGCATGACGATACACTCCGCGCTGGTCGCCTTGAAAAGTGAGAGTGAACGGCTTGGAGCTTCGGCTTCAAGCTTCAAGTCCCGAACCACACCTGCACTGCCGAGCTTACCTCCACGATGATACACTAGCTCCGGCAGCAATTCCCTGCTGTGGACATGGAAGCTGCCAGCACTGAGCGTGAATCGTGTATTAATTTAGTTGTTCCAAAGACAAAAAGTGTCTGTAACGAGTACAATGTCTCCGCGGGGAGTCGAACTCCTGCTTCTCGTGGTACGGTTCATCGACTTATTGCGTCATTCATCCGGGACGATCGCCCTGATCTGCGAAGGCGTATTTAAACCTACAGTTATTGTGTTCCAGTTAGGAAGTTTAACCCAGGAAGTACACTGACTTGGCTCCTCAAATCATAATGTGAAAATCTTACTTCCGTTATCGAAAAGCGGATTACGGCTGCGAGGAAGGATGTCTAGTCCGGAGTAGTGGCTTGTACCATAGTGCTGGACGGCAGGGGTTTCATTGTAACCAAAGTCGCCTTGAGTATACAGTCAGACTGAAGCGATGCTTCATTGATTGCCATCGGATTGAGTCTCTGTGAACGTATCGCAATCACATCTAAGCTGTGTCGCATAGACTGAGGCAGTGTTTTCAACTTTTGGATCTGCCGAAAACCGTGAGGGACTCGGCTAAGTTCGACAAACCGCGACCACCGACCACGAAACGCAACCAAGGATCTGGCATCTGCTTTGCTACATTCCACATTCAGGTAGTCCAGGTCGCATAATATTTGATGAAGAAAGCCTTTATAGAGCCTCGCTCTCAAGATCGTTTCCCGGCTTATGGGTGCGATATGAGGTACAGGATGCCTGGGATCAATCTCGGAAGGAATAACATAGAACGGAGCGGGGACACAAAAAAAGAATCACATATCACCGAATCATGCCTGCGCGGGGATTCGAACCCCGCCTTCCCGCTGCTGCTTCGAATTAGGAAAGTTCATTAGGACGGAATGATCACCACTGATCCTCGCAGACTTTCTTTTGAGTATCAGAACCTCGAGTTACGCCGTTTTATTCCCTCTGTTTGTGCTGGGCTCATTTTCCTACGTAGTTCACAAACATTGCTTATCCTCGCCTCCCGTTAATCTTTAGTTTTATCCAGTCAAGCGGGAACGATCGCCGTTGATCCCCAAAAGCTTTTAAACCTGTATTCAAGCCTGGAGTTATGCTCCTCTATTTATTGCTTACGTTGATCTGGGAGGGACTGAGATGCGCGCGGAGGTGCGGAGAAAGTAGGCTGACGAGATGCGAACGTGGGCGGAGCAGATGCAGGGAAGATGACTAGGGTTATGCATACACACGCAGACCTTGCGTGCCTATCAGCACCCCGAAACCACGTCAACGCAGTGCTTAGGCGCACGGCAGCGCAGAAACCAAGCTCATGTGCGAGTGCAGGCTACTAAGTCATTTGTCGCCAGCGGGAGCGCAAAACAGCCGACACTAGGGTGCGATCGTAGTCCGCGTGCAGTGCCGTTGAATGCAGAAAGACGGATATAGGAATAGACGAGAACTTAGTTTCACCGGGTGAAAGGACTCCAGATGACCCGAAGGCGGATGGTGTATCTGATATTCCTGGTACCGTCTTAGGTTCCAGGTCTACTTTCTGTAACTCAAACCTGCCTCGGTCCCCTTCAGATCATGACACCATGTGACTTTTCCCACCCCATCGGCATATCCCGAGACCCATCACCCAAAAACCCTTAACTCAAACCTGCCTCGTCGCCCTTCAGTTTATCACATCATGTGACGCTCTTTCGGCATATCCCGCGACTCATCACCCAAAACCTTTAACTCAAACCTGCCTCGCTCCCCTTCAGTTTATCACATCATCTGATTATCGGCAGATCCCGACACCACTCCCCATTTCACTCTGGGACCCAGCGCCTTTGTACATGTATGTAATGTACCAGGGATAAACCTATTGAACTTCTTCCCGTATATTCGTTTCTCACTAACTCGAGCGTTACGGTCGGAATTCCTCTCTCAATAACTATCAGGGTAGTGCTGGCTCGTCCCTCAAATTCATGAAACACCATATATCTTTGATATGATAGCCATGTGTTTGATACGATATCCACAGGCCTAATTAATATCCATGCATCTCGAATTTAAAATTTCCATTGCCAACGATCACAATGGCGTCACAATCCATTATTCCTTCTGAACAGAGCCATTCGTTAGAATGGTTTTTAAAACATGGGGGGACCGATGAATAAATCCGAATAAATTCACACTGAATACTTTCAGAGTACTGCGTAAGTACCTATTTTCTCACAAAGCGAGCAGCAGATTGTTCCGAGCCATGAGCACTTGATCTTCAAGCATCTGATTACAATCAAACAGAGTACTGGATTTTTGCAAACATGGGGGCTGCCTCTGGGTGACCATTTAGTGTAATCAAGCAGTGTGGAGCTCCCACATGCGCTACACCATGCACAACGCACCATCTCCCATCCAAGCCTTATTCACAATCTCGCTTCAACACCCAATCCGGATTCATACATCTCATTTTAGGACAAATTGCGTCTCCACTTCGAATTATCGTATTCGCACTACGACCTCGGACGACAGGCACCCGCGGACTGTCATAACCTTCCATCACGCCACGACCACACCGTCAGCAAAGGCTCGGACCCGTAATCCAGGAACTCGGACTTCGAACCACTCGATAGCTGCCAAAACTCGGTTCGCATTCCCAACGCGAAATAAGCTATCGGTCCCGTTACACTTGAAACAACGGTCCCGCTCGGCTCTCCCTGCATTTCCGGTACCGAGGACTAGGCAGGAAAGGTATAAAGAGCGCAGGAACGTAGGACAGTCAATAAACGGTGTACTTCCCCCGCTACCAAAGTTCACCCCTTGGTACCACACACCATCTCAAATAATCAATTGGCCACACACAGCACACACACATTTGCCCACAGCATCTCATCAACTAACACCCTTCTTTCGCAGCTTAAGAAATAAGCCTGCATGAACTCACTCTCTCCGACACACACACACTTTTATCGATCGCACACCTTCCTTCACGAGCCCAGCGCCCTTCAGAAGTGGGAACACGATAAAGGACTTTGGCAAATTGTCTACAGTGACCTCCAGTTACAAGCGAGCATAACTGCACACCTGAATGAAGAACGCAGTCGACGTCGGGGAATTTCTGCGGACACAGCTCCTTGGCTTCTCAAGTAGCAGATCAGTGGATTGCTAGCTTGGAGACGGTATATTTTTCACCCACACCTATTTTTACTGATCAATTCGAATCACCGCCTCGAATAAACATTCCCTTACAACAAGTCGCGCATTCCTGTCCTACCAACCAACTACTATCCTTAACACCCCTTTGGACGAACCAGCTGCCAATTGAGGAAAAACTCCACATAGCAGCCCCGTAGTCCGCATCACAGCGGTAGCCTGAGAGTCACACCACCCCCAATATTTCTGTATAAGGTCAGCGACTAGGGATGTCCCCTCAAATTCATGAAACACCACATATCTTTGATATGACAGCCATGTGTTTGATATGATATCCATGTCCATGCGTCTCGAATTTAAAATTCCCATTGCCAACGATTGCAATGGCATCACAATTCATCGTTCTTTCCTTCCTACTCCTTCTCATCATGGCCTCACTGCTCCCAGCAGGACTACACAGCTTGCCAAGGTACTCAATTCCCGCTAGGCGCCGTCTCAATGGAGGAAGTCGAGGAGGAAGACATACCCCGAGTTCACGCTCCCCTCACAAACACATATCCTTGAGCTCCTGCCAATGAACGCCAGGTGAGCACCTTTTGAATCCCCGAGTTCTGCGCTTATTTTATTTCACATAAGTTCTACGCAGTGCACAAAGGTAAGTTCTCTTTGTGCACTGCGTAGATGTGTGCGAGGTAAATGTGGTGCTGCTGATACATACAGTGGTCGGGGTACGGGTTCAGTGTACGAGACAGGTACAGGTACAGGTACAGGTACAGGTGGAGGTGCCAGGGGTGCCCGGAGGGCCTTTTGAATGAGGAAGGGGAGCGGAACTCGAATGGAATTCGACGAGGAGGAAGAGCGAGAGCGCGCCCCAGGAGGTCTTCAGGGCGAGAGTGGTACTGCATGTAATGTGAACCCGGGGACGCGGAGCCCGCAGATGTATGAGGACTTAGTTGGACTGGAGGGAAGAGTCGCCAGGACGGGCGCGAGTAGAGAGAGACAAAACCAGCCACGACAGGTGAGTGCGTAGAGGCGTGGGCGTAGGACGGATGAAAGAAGAGTTAAGAGCAAGTCGATACGAAGGTGGACGCCGGGACAGAGGCTTGTGGCGAGAAGGGGTACGCTACGTCGACTGAACCCAGGACGACGGAGGCAAAAAGCCACAATGAGGGAAAAGATGCAGCGGGGAAGCGGAGATGATATGAGCCGAGGGATGAATCCCACTAACGAAATGGGTTTGATGTGGATGGTGTGAGAAGTCGGCGGAGGGCGACCGGGCGTAGGGCGCGATCGTATCCAGATTGTACATGGGCGAGCGGATGTGGGGATGGGGCACGGAAATCGAGCGGGCGGGCGTGCGGACGGGTGACTGTGTCGATGCGGGGGACTAGGGTATTACGCGATGTTTTCGTGGGGCCTTGGTCGGATTCCAACCGCTCTTTGAGGGGCGGAGGCAGAGGTGTCGGAAGCGAGAGCGAGAGCGCAGAGAGCGCAGAGATATTGCGGCCAGTGCGTGGCGCAGGTGCGGGCCAGTCGTGTGTTCCGGTGTGCGTGCGCGTGTCGAAAGCCAATGTCGGATGTCGCGAGGAAAAATGTCAGTCGTTGGTCAGTAGCACGGAAAGAAGAGGAAAGGCGGCCCGAATGCCCGGCGGTGTGTGTTTGTTTGCCTTCGCTGACAAATAGGGGGCCGCACCCCCGTTGTGTGGGTGGTTTCGCTGAAAACCCGGGGTGACTTTTCTAACCCATTCAAGTTAAGGCCGTTCAGGATTACTCACGCTTTCAACCTGTTTCGCTGACAATCATCCTGCCATGGGAATGGAAATTGAGCTCTACGCGTGCCGGGTCTAATTTCTGCCATTAATTCTAGCGTCATTCGGGCCTATTCGTATCGTTACAAGCGGTTGACGGCCCGCTCCGAGGGCGGTCATCCCCTTTGCTGAGACTTGAATGGAAGTGATAGTCAATGGAATGGTTGCAACATAATACTATAAAAGAAGCTCCTCCCAGACAATATTAGTTGTACATGCGGAAAATCGTCTTCGTACTTTAGTATAAGAACATTTTGATTCGTGTCGATGTGATAAGCAATCAGGTCATTGTGGCGAACTACAGCCCGTTGGTTATTGTTGAGCATGGCCCGGTGAATGGCGCGAGATTGAGGATTTTTGCGATGAATATCTGCAGTTTGTTCATCAGATAGAAGGGAGCGTGAGACCCTGCGAGCAGCCGCATCTTGTCTTCTCCTATGTTCACGATCAATGCTGTCTTCGCGCAAGCGACGACCCCTCGAGATTCACGTCGTAGACGACGCTGACATTCGGCTTCGGATTCAATCAGGCTGTGATCCGAAACCGATTCCGTCATTTTTTCGTTAGCTCAATCCGGCAAACGGCAAACGGCAACGTGATAAAGCAAGGTTCGAGCCGAGACACGAAGAGACCAAGAGGATGTCGCAGCACTGCAGAGCAGTGGATGGGGGGAGAAAGGGACAACAAATCATTTACTATTGGGTAACCTCTAGAACAGAGCCACCAAAGGACGGGAAGCGCTTACAGAAACAGGGAAAGGTTGGGGAAAGGTATTTCACAATTTTGAAGATAAAAGGGCCAGTGTTGGGGGATGCATTTGCAAGTAGCAGGGCGTCCTGTGGCTGATATTATATTGCCCGTGGTGGGAACGCAGACAAGCGGCGTATCGAAGCGGAGGATCCTGCTATGGGTAGGGTGTCATGAGCAGCGAGAATGCAGGAAGTCGCGTCCGTAGGCGGTATGCGCTGCGACACA